AGCAATGCCGTATGGCAGAGAATTCTGTTGGTATAAACCTTTGTGCGTGCTTAAAACTAGATATTTTTTTGAATCTTCACTTAGTTGCACCTGTGCATAAGCTTCTTTTACATAGATTTTTGAAAAATAAACACCACCTTGTAAACTCGCTATTAAATGTTCAATTCGAGGTAGTGGGTGTCGCTCAACTAATATATTCTTATTTACTGTAATTTTATAATCCCCACAAATCCTTTTTGACCCATCGGGTTTAACTATTGGAACTACTGGTGTGCCCCACTCACTTACCTCAATTGGAGTTAATATTCCTTCTTTCACCAGTCTATCAATTTCTTTTGAAACTTTTACTTTTAATGCAAACGGAATGCTTCTAGCTTTACAAAAAATTGGTACAGTATTATCACTGATTCTAATAATAAATTTTGATTTATTATAAACACCTCTTTCAGCGGAAAATAACTCATGGAATTTTTTAAAAGAGGCGAGTGATAGGCTGAAAATTATTACGGCTGACTGCTTCTTTCAAGTATTCTGCATAAAACTGAATAAAACTAAACTGGAAAAAAAAATGTTTTGTAGAACTTCTTCTGGTAGAGGAATAGAAGCAGACGGAATTGCCCCATTAAAAGATGAAAAAGTACTGCATCCAGTGAAAACATATGACGGGAAAAGAAGAATTGTTTCAACTGCAGGTAGTTATGCAGATAACAGTTTCAAATATCCAAAACATATATAATTATTTGTTATAGAAAGTACACTCACAATGGACAATACAGAAGCTAGTATTTCTGCAGTTTCTGAATCGTTAGCACCCCCTGTAGAAGCAGGAAGCAGTACTAAATTAGGTAAAGAACAATTTCTTTGTTCATACAAATATACCTGTATTAGTATCTATATTTTAATTAATTGATGTTTGCTATTTACTCGTATATTGTATTAATTATATTTATTACTGCATTTATACTTTGTTATTAAATTTGTTAATTTTATTTTTGTTTTTTTTTCAATTTCCATTTGAAACAAAAAAAAATAAAATTTGGTGTAATTTTGAAATGCGCGCCTTTGGTTACGCTTCATAGTGTGATGTATAGATGGCAGTGAAATTCGATGTTTTCTTTGCCAATACCATTTATATATATATTCCAAGTGTCGTCTACTAATGTGGGGTAAACTTAGATGTCACTACTATCGTCCAAATCTCGAGAGTTTTACATCTATTTACCTAGTCTAGGCTATGGCATAAGCTGTTTGACAAGTGACAGACATTATACCGCATAGTTATTATCTTTGTACTTGAATAAAAGGGATTGTTGAAATTGAAAGGCAAACAAGTTAAAATAGTTTAAAATACACCAGGAGTACCAACAGTATGGTAGTTCTTTTTTTTGTGTCTGTGATTTTAACATTTTTATTTCATGAATTACTTTTATTTTCCCTACTATGTAAAAATATTTTCTTTTTTCTTATTAAAGATGCCGTGGATTAAAAATTTATTTGTGTGGCGACTCATACAAGGAATGCGACAAGAAAAAGCGGAATATTACAATGCATCTATTTGTAGTAAAGATAAACTTGAAAATCATAAGAAAGGCAACAATCAAAAAATTTGTTTAGAAGAATCATTTCAGATGAACAAAATTATATCAAATAAACATTCTGATGTGAGTTTCCAGATATTTGATCACTACAAAATTGTGAATAGTTTTATGTTTTAGGCAAGCTTTTACCACCAGCAAAAAAAAATGCTAAAAAGTAGGTGTTGTTGCATCTTTACAAGAGTGTGTTTGGTTATTTTTGTGTTTATGGTTTTATCATTAATTTGTCTTCTTTATAACCCAAAGTTGATCAGTAAAGGCTGTGAGAATTTCATGTTTTATTTATATAAAAATCAGGTGAGTAAAGCAAAATTGAAATATGATATTTAAATTACATTAATACTTACAATAGTAGCATATTCTATTTCAGCAATTTGATGAACCAAATACATACATATTTTGGCCTTTCAAAGATATTAAACAAAAATTAATAGCAATAAATTCATCAAATTTCAATAAAGTGCGTTTGCCTCCCTCTCCAGATGCAAATCAGTGTTTTTCAATTCAAAATAATGATAGGTTTGACTGTTTTCCTGATGGATTTGTTAATCAAAGTAAATGTGAACAAAGAGGGTGCTGCTGGCAACCAAAACCTAAACAGACTGAAAGCAATATTCCATTGAATGTACCATACTGTTTCTACCCCAAAAATTTTCGAAGTTATGCATACATAAACATTACCCATAATTCTTTTGGTATTATAGCATTTTTGAGGCGTGTCTTTAGTAGCCCTTTTCCTGGAGATGTGAATATCATTAAATTAACTGTGAAATATGAAACTGACACACGCCTTCATATTAAAGTAGGTATATGATATGAATATGTATAGTTGTATATATGTATTAAAGAACTTTCAAAAACATTTTTAAAAAGATTACAGATCCACTGCATAAACGATTTGAACCACCTTACCCAGAAGTGCCAATTGTAGATAAAGTCACTACCAATCCCACATATAAGTGTGTAATAGATCCTACAAAAACTGGCTTCAAAGTTGAAAGAAAATTGGATGGATCTGTTATGTAAATACTACTAGCTAATTAAGTGTCTGCTCTGAAAAATATAACTTTGTAGATTTGACTCGCAAGCCATTGAAAATTTTATTTTTTCTGATCAGTTTCTACAAATAAGTACTAGACTGCCTTCCTCATACATTTACGGTTTAGGGGAACATCGTACACATCTTCTGCTCAGCACAGATTGGCAAAGATTCATGTTCTTTAATCATGATAAAATTCCCCACGAGAATGTACAATTTTATATTCAAAATAACTTTCGTTATTTAATTTAAATTTCGTTCTTACAGGGAAATTTATATGGAAGTCATCCATTCTATTTAGTAATGGAAAATACTGGAAAAAGTCATGGAGTATTTTTGCTAAATAGTAATGCCATAGGTATGTATAAAAACTCGGTGTAAGCTTTCATAAAAAAATTGTTATATGATTGTGCTTAGACTTGCATTGTCTTTCTTAAAATCTCCACATATCTGTGCCATTCTGCGCCAGTGTTAAAAACTATCTACATATATAAAAGAAAGTCGTCTTAGTTACACCATTTATAACTCAAGAACGGCTGAAAATTGGTGGGGAAGTAGTTTACAACCGGGAGAAGGACATAGGATACTTTTTATCACGTTCCACGAAAAAAAACGTGGTATATGTAAACGCAACTGATATGGAATGACAAAACGCAAATGACAGCAAACCGAAAAATTTATAAATCAAATCATCAGTCTGCCGTTCATTGGTTAAAAATGGTATAACAAAACGCAACTGACAGCTAAAAGTAATGTTGTCTACGGTTAAGTATGGTGTTTTATTTATAGTCAGATTTACCTGAAACTTGGCTTTAATGCTTTTTCATATAAAATTAGTGTCATACATACCTATTTCAACATTTACAAAATTCTACCTCTTTAGGAAGCTGAAAGGGGTTTGCAAAGATTGCATGTTTGTTTTCGGTCCAATTTACTTGAAACTGATTAAAAAATTCAATCTCTGTTGGGGGGGATGAGTGGTGAAGAGGAGTTGCAATGTTTAAATGGAACATATGTTATTGTGGTCAGATTTACTTGAAACTTCGTTTTAATGGTCTCTCATTTAATTTCTGAAAGATCTATCTCGACATCTTAAAAAAGGGGAAGGTGTTGCAATTTTTGTTTGGGACATACTTTATTTGTGGTTGAATTTACTTGAAACTTGGTAGTCTGCTGTTTAATATAATTAAAATACAATGAAAAGAGGTTGCTACGTTTCCATGGGGTATATTTTATTTGTACTCGGATTTACTCGAAGGTTGCTTATTGTTGAAATAAGCAAATACGTGTTTTGGCAATTTTTAAAAATCAACCCTTAAGGATCAAATGTTGTTGCTACGTTTGTATTTAAAATCTAAGATGGCGACATTACATAAAATTAAAACGTTGTAAGGGTGAATTGGGAGTTAAAAGAGAAGAAAAAATTAAGAAAATTGCAGGGTAAATTAGAAAATTTAAAAAAACAACGTCCATAACAACTTGGCGTTTGACATCATTGTCAGTTGTTTAACATAACTGTCAGCGATTGAATGAATGCGCGCCGAAAAAATCATTTAACACATACATCTATCGGAATTATATTGATATACTAGATGATCCGACAGACGTCCTATCTTAACTATGAATATTGAAATTGAATTGGTATAATTAATAAAAAAAATAGTGTTTATTATAACAATGCTCTATGATATGCATCATCCTTCGTTTTATTTTCTGGTGTGTATATGAATAGTTTTGTTGGTATGCCGACACTGGAACATGGATTTTCGAGATTGATGTCACAAACTCTTAGTGACTGCCCTTGCGATTTATTTATGTAATGTTACGCGCAATTTTCTTAAGTTTTTCATTCATAAGAACAAATACAACCAAAAAAGAATTAGCGACACTGGCCCAGGTGTTCACGCGTAATGCCATGGCCAGGGGAAATAGGGATTCATTTTTATACATACAACATTAGAATAATATGAATAATAATATAAAAATGTCTTTGAATAATTATTCTTTTTATTAATTATACTAATTCGAATTAAATATTCATAGTTAAGACAGAACAACGTCTATCGGGTCAGCTAGTTATAAATTTGGCGTCGAAACGATGACTGTTGATACAGTAGAGTACACTTCGACTACCTATATAATGTTCTAAACACGCTGTTCGTTTCTAATGAAGCCAACATTCGCCGCTACAAATGACTGAAGGGAAAAATATAGTTATACTATATACTCGTATTTCTTATAAGCGAGTATAATTAATTTTGTTAAGGTACATAGATGATTGTCTTGAGGAGTTTCATAGGATATTAACACTACTATCGTAGGTGTATGTAAGAAGATACATTTTGAATATTTAAATAAAATACCAACAATAATACAATAAAAAGCAATTCGACAATCGAAACAATTATCTAGCTGTGTTTTATTATATTACTATTAAAAAATTCGGGTGTTTTATTTAAGTACAGGATGTGTTTTGTCCTTCGATAGCGATTCAAACGGCGGTATATGTGAGCTTCACTCCATTTGTATTAGAGAAGCGAGAAACGGCGTGTCTGGTACATTTTATGGTCGAAGAGAATACATTTCAATATGGCATCATATTGAAATGTATTTATATACCCAAGCGATATCCAAGTGGTATTCGGCGGTGGTGATTGTGTTTCAACACTTAATCGAGAAGAACCTACCATCCTGAACAAGCGATAACCATTCACTAGTTGATTTGGTCATCTGCTGCTTCATCTCACCCCAGAGGTTGAAGATCCAGTTCCAAGCAAACAACCATCTACGGTGAAGACGCGACCTACCCCAGAGGTTTGGAAACGTTGATACAACATTTAATATCAAACCAAGTAAGTGTTATTCTTGTAGTTTTTCAAAATTCCTCGCCTTTACCTCAATCTCTCCAGCCTTGCCAATATGGCTGAATCTGATAAAGATTACAAATCTATCTCAAATGTTAAAGATGAATCTGGTCATGACGAATCAGAAAATAAATACGAACCTGAAACATTGCTTTTATCTTTACTTTTGAAATTTGTCAGACCTTTTAATAGTAACAGAAAAGAACTCAGTACTTTTATTCAAAATTGTAACAGTGCCTTTGAGATGGCACAAGCTAACCAGATTAACTAATTATTCCTTTACGTTGCCGCACAACTGTCTAACGGTGTAGTCAACGAATTGAACATGGAAGAGATTAGTAATTGGACGGATTTGAAAAGAAAATTAAAAACTTATTATAGTCATGTAAAAGATTTAACTCAGTTACACGAAGAATTAGAGACAGTTAAACAAAATTCAAACGAGTCCGTTACTGATTTCTTCAAATGCTTAGAAAATTTAAAAAATGAATGCATCGCAGCAGACAAAAATTATTGTGAAATCTCTGATGAAATCCCCAGTTTGGTCAGGATTTATTATTTAGACGATTTATTTTGTATAGTAAATCAGAAATTTCACAAATGTTAAGAGCTAGGGATATAAAAACTTTAAACCATGCTTTCGGCATAGCACTACGGGAAGAAAAAATTCTGAATCATACAAGAACGCACAAACGTAAAAACAGTTCACTATTTTGTAGCTTTTGCAGAACCAATACTCACTCCACACAAAATTGTAGGAAAAAACCCAATCACAACCATCAACACCGCAATCATAATCCGTCACACAATAACCATAATAATTATAATTCCAACAAAAATTAATTTTCTTCTCCCTACGATCCCAACAAATTTTGCAACTATTGTAAAAATAAGAGTCACGTAATACAAGAATGTAGGAAGCAGCAATTCAGGAACCAAGATGGCAGCCAACAAAACAAAGTGAATCATTTAAACTTGAAACCATCCCTGAAAACGAATGCCCTTCCAGAGAGTTCGCAAAACCAAGCGGCATTCAGCAATGCGTAACTGCTCTTTATAATTCAGATGCAAATAAAAAAACACTTCCATTTGTAGACACAGGCCCGACTGTTTCCTTAATTAAGCACACCTCCTTGACCCCTTTCAAAACGTTTCTCAAGAAGGACGACATAATTACTATAAGCGGCATAAACCCAAATAACCCCATAACAACAATAGGTTCCACATACCTCGATCTCTCATTAGGACCGTTCGACGGCATACTGCGAAACGATTTCCTAGAATCTCAGCAAGCTGAAATAATTTATAAAGATCAATACGTCAAAATACAAGGTAAGGAACTCTTCTTCGACGGACGCTCTCCTCCGAAATCACTTATGATACCTCCACAAATGGTAATGTAAATTGGGGTAGTTAATAAGGTAAGAGAAGGCGTGATTCAGGTCTCAGTTCACTGAGCACGTCATATTACCAAATGCCCTGGTCGCCGTAGATAACAATACAAAAGCACTTTGCACGATTATCAATACCAACGATTCAGAGGTCACCGTCCCCCAACAATAGAACTCAAAGAAATCGAACAATATCATAAAATTTACGAAGTCCACAATCAAATCAAAAGGAACGTTACATTCATACAAACAGGTTCAAGCTTCTCGATGAAAATCTACGTTTTGATCAAAGGAAAAAAAATCTATTCGGAAAAACTGTTACGACTTCCACCACATCTTCCACCTTTCTGGAGATCATCTAACAACCACCACATCTGTCACGCATAAAATTCCGGTAACAAATACTTCTCCGATTTTTACTAAAACCTATAGGTACCCGAAGATCCACGAGGAAGAAGTTAACAAGCAGATTAACAACATGCTGAAGCAAAACATCATCGACCCATCCACATCTACATGGTCATCTCCCGTGCGGGTCGTCCCATCGACGCATCCGGAGAAAGAAAGTAGAGAATCTTGATATACTACAGAAAATTGAATGACGTAACAATAGATGATGCACATCCCCTCCCTAACATTGAAAGTATATTGGACCAACGGGGCAGTCAAAATATAAAACAGCAATTATAAGTCAAGAATCTAGTGATACCTCTAGCTTGCGACGCACTCAACGATAATTTACACATGGATTATTTAAAGAAACAATTTCTCTAAAACTCGTTTTAAACGTTAATAAAACTACCTCATTCACAATTATAGATGTAAGCATACAAAATAATCTAATACAACCGGACACATTTAATAGCTTATTACAGTACTTATTCGAAGATCACGTTTATAAAATTCTGGACAACGAAAGATTGACCATCAAAACGCTAGAAGAGACGGAATTAGTCCTCATGGAAAATCACGACTATCCAATTTCCGGACATCAAGGATTCCAACGGACATACGAAAGCATAAGGAGCCGGTATTATTGGAATAATATGAAGGATGAATTATGTTAGCAATCAAAAACGAATTTTAAACTAACCAAAGTCCCA